TGGCATCCTCGAGGGACTCAGATCATGTTCTTTTTAAATGTTCTTTCAGTTTTGGGAACAAAAAGAAGTCTGAAGAGGCCAGATCAGGGCTGTAGGCTAGATAGGGTAAGGTTTCCCAGTGAAATTCGCTTAAGACAACCTTTGCTACCCTCCAACAAGGAGCAGGTGCATTGTTGTGATGGAAAAAAATTCCTTGGCACAACTTTCCTGGCCTTTTTCTCATCAGTGCAGTTTTCAATTTTCTTAAAACTTCTTCATAATAAGTGCCTGTGATCATCCTATGTCCTTCAAGAAAATCTATCAAGATTGCCCCTTTGGAATCCCCAAAAAACAGTCACCATACCCTTCTCAGTGTCTTCCCTCTTGGCTCATCTTTGAGGTCTTCCCAACCTTCCTTAAAACACTTGATCCATCTAAAAACTGTTGTTTTATGTGGGGCAGCATTCCCATAAACTTGTTGCAAAGCTGCAGTGATTTATGAAGATGTCCGTTTGAGTTTTGCTAAAAATTTGATATTAGCCCTGACTTCAAAATCATTTTTTTCCCATGGCACAAAAAGTATCTTTTTTTTTTGAAGGCACCCTAACAAGACTAAGACAAGTATATTACTGAGAGAACTTGTCTGCAGCCATCCACTGATCACAGAGATCTGTTTAAACATGTTTTGTTTGGAATAAACCCATGCATGTATCAACTGGAACGCTAGTAGCAATACTTTTTGACTTACTCTTATCTATTAATATAATGATGTATCCCCTGGATGGTGCAAACGACACACGTGGCTGCTAACCGAAAGGTTGGAGGTTTGAGCCCACCCAGAGGTACCTCGAAAGAAAGGCCTGGCGATCTACTTCCTAAAGATCAGTCACTGAAAACCCTGTGGAGCACAGCTCCACTCTGACACACATGGGTCGTCACAAGTCAAAATTGACTCGATGGCAGTTTTTTTTTAATATAATGGTAGACTATTATATTGTAATTAAACATAAGTATGTGCACTGTGTAGATTCAAGGAAGAGTAGATATGAAATAAGTGGAAAGAGTGAAACTTAAAAAGTACATGAGAACATTGATAACTAAAAAAAAGTTGATATAAGAAAACATATCAAGGTTATACAAATAGTTGATATTTCAATGCAATTTTTGTTGAATGTACACTTGAAGAGAAAAACCTTTTTTTTTTTTTTTGGTCACCAAACATGTAGACTTTTTTTACTTAGTAGTTCACTTTTACGGGTCCAAATATCTTATGGAGATTTTGAGTTTGTATTGATGGGCCACACATATAGTATCCAAACCAAACCCACTACTGTTGAGTTGATTCCAACTCATAGCGACCCTGCATATAATATAAACTCAGTTAATTGTCCCCAGCAACCTGAAGGACAAGCTTGTCTTCTACTCTCATACATTACACCCCTCATTTTTACAGTTGAAAGGTATTATCAAAATCTCCCACGGGTCAGGGAACTGGCAATTGCAGCAGTAGATTTGGGAACCAGATTTCATAAAAGGGAGTCCAGAGGCAGGTGGCCACTGGGGTAGCACTCAACGGGGCCAGCTAGAGAGCAAGAGCAGGAGGCCTTGGTTGCTAGAGGGACCCTTAGAAAGGAATTCCAGGGAATGGTTGTGCCCCCTTTTTCCCATGCTTGAATCCCGTATAACACTCTAAGAAGGGGCTTCTGCTTAGACATTTCTAGGGATGGGGAACACCCTATCCTGGAGCCATCGGTTCCATTTGGACAAATCCGGAGATACAAGGTTCTTCCTTATGCCTGACCAAAGGTCTAGCTCCTGTTACTTTCTACCTACTGATCCTAGCTCTGACCGATCTTTGAGGCCTCACCCAACAAGTATAATCCGTATGACCATATGATAGCTTTTGGAGACGGTGTTTATGCCTCTCAAGTTGCTAGTTTTCTAGATTGAACCTTCTCAGTGCTTCTAGCTGTTCGTCATTTAGTTGGTTTCTGTCTTCGTCCTGATCCTGGTGCTGACCCTTGGATATACCACCGTTCGTTATTATTGCCTTTATAGTATGCTGCCTGGAATAGAATACAGTGTATGGCAAAACTGAACAGTACTACTGTCTACCTGGATTCTCTCTCATCCTAATGCAACCTAGAATTGCATTAGCTTATTTGGCATCTTTTATTATATCATGACTACTGTTGAGTTTATCATCAGCCGAAACCCGTAAGTGGCTTTTGTTTTTTCCAACATGCATGCAGTTGCTAAGACACATCTGGCATATCCTGCAGTTGTTTATTGGACTTTAGAGCTATAGATTTCAGCTTCTTTTTGAGCAGTTTTCTTAGCAATATTCTGCTTTAAAAGTGGGCAACTTTGTCTTTACACACACATAAAGAGGCCGCTTTATAGTGTTTGAAACAGATTGAGCATCTGTAGCAAGTAAGCAACAGAGTGGTTTCTTGGTTGATGGTGAGGAACTTGGGGAGGTTGCCACCCCGTATCTGTCCCTTCTTACTCAGTAATACATGGGATTCACCTGGAAGGCTGTAGTCTTCAGATGCTTTTGATATGTTGGAAGAAACTAGAATATCACCATTTATTGATTTCTGGAATATTAGAGCTACAGAGGAGCCGAGAGATATTTTAGTCCACATACTCCCCGCCTTTGTAAACATTTGGAAACCAAGACCCTAGACAAATAAAGAAAATTGCCTAAAGTTATTGAGCAAACTGTTGATAGAGGCAAGCTTAGAACCTAGGCTCCTGACATACATAGAAACTAACTTATTAGTCTTTGCCTGAATATCAAGAGGCTTTCACTGCTCGTATTAAGTAAGACACTTCATAAACCACTGTTTAGGAAGCAGTGAATTTCTGTTTATGGTGATAGGAAATTTGGCAATGATTATGGATGGTGGAAGAAGCCCTGATGGGGCAATAGTTAAGTGCTCGGCTGTTCACCGAAAGGTTGGCAGTTCAAACCCACCCAGCCACTCCACAGGAGAAAGACCTGGTAACCTGCTTCCTTAAAGATTACAGCCAGGAAAACCCTATGGGTCAGTTCTACTCCCTCACATGGGGTCGCTATGAGTCGGAATTGACTTGTCGGCACCCAACAACAACATGGGTGATAGTTACACATGATTAACGTAATTGATATCACTAAATTGTATACCTGAAGAGTGTTAACTTGGCAAATGTTATGTTACAGATATTTTTATAACAATAACAACAACAAAAAGACTAGTTTTTTTTTTTTTTTCTGCCCTTCTTATGAGTTTAATTGCCCCAGAGCTAGATGGCATCCTTGAATTCCTCCAGCATGTGAGTAAATGAAGCTCTCTTTAGATTTTTAGCAAAGTGAAGCTAGGCAGGATCCTCCCTGGGATTTGCAGATCCTTTACTAGCTTTCTGCCAAGTGCTTTCCTTGTGAAATTGGGGTCAGTCCTACATTACAGATGGAGGGAGATAGAGAATGAGATCACCCCTGGATCTCTCAGGTGCCAGGGTGGGGGCCAATTCCCAGAAGAGTTCCCCAGGGGCTGTGGGAGGCACTTGGATGTCAGGGCGGGACCGGGTGTTGTGGGTAGGGGTCAGAAACCCTGGCTCCTCACCTGGTGTCCGAGACGGCACATCAGACTCAGAGCAGGTAGCCACCCGTGTGCGGAGGAGAGCTCCACAGAGGCAGGCCGCTGTGCCAGTCTGCTCAGTGTCCGCAGGATTCTGATTCTTAATTTTTAATGTTAGTGTACCTTTGTTTCCTCACTTCATCGCCGCCTCTTGGAGGGCAGGAGGTTGACTTTTTTCATGATCATATTCCCTCATAGTACCTGGTGCTGTATTCAGTAAACGTTTCCAGATTCAGGCAGGGAGTTGGGAGATAGGTCTTCTGTTTTTGCTTTGCTACTACCTAGGTGTAGCACGGTGGATCACTTCATCTGTTTAGGGGTTGATTCCCTGTCTGTAAAATGAGGGCTTTGATATGACCTCTGAGGGCTCCTCTAGCACTGGTTTCTAGGATTCTGGACTGGCTTGGGGGCCTGCCTGACTCCCAAAATGAATCCTATTGTGTACTTAGGGAAGTCATTGTTGTCTCTTTTCCGTAGTAGCATTATTGAAAAAGTTCACCCAGGGGATGCTACCTTCACCATCCCTTCCCCAAGACACAGCAGGAAGGGTCTCTTCTTTCACCATGTTTAAAACATAAGCCAGTCAGTAAGAGTGAAAAGGAAGAAGGAGAGTGGAGAGACACGTGAGACAAGGGTCAGCGGTGGCACTGCTCACGCTTCTGGTCTTCCTCGGAGCTGCCGTCAGCTGCCATTTCTCAGTAGTCAGGTTGTTTGGAAGAGAATATTCCTAGGGTCAGGGGATTAGAGTCACTGGTGGCTCCAAATGGTAGAGATGAGGCCTGAGGTTATGGCAGAGAGAAAGGCAGAGTCATTGGTGGCTCTGGGACCCAGTGGGAGTTTAGCTGAGCAGAATTGGGTGATCCGGAGGGGATTTCTTTAATTCAGTAAGGTTCTCTAATGAATGCAGAGGGGAAGAAGGGTACAATGAGGAATATTCAGACCCCTGTCCTCTGAGAGCTTGCTTTTGGGAAAGATGGATGTATATTAAATCTAACCATTGTCCAAAGTCCAGGAAATTAGCTCAGCAGAAGGAACAGCTAATCCCAACCTAAGGAATAGGGAAGGCTTTCTAGAAGTGCCCATCTGTGTCTTCCCCCACCCCTTCCAAGCAGTGCCTCACCTCTGCTCTGTCTAGGTGTGCTGTGGCAAGTTTAGACATGACCGTGGCACTGAATGGGAAGGTTGGGAGGCAGAAGCCTGTGAGCTCAGCCCGCCCAAGTGTACTTTGCACCTTTTCCATAGCCCTCGGTACCAGGCACTCTTGCTGTACTTAATCCATAGTGCAGCTGTCACCCTGAGCAACAGTGACAATGGCTGCTCTAGCCCCAGAGCCTACCCTAGACTTGGAGCTAAAGGCCCCAGTCGCTGGAGACCTTAATGCTGACCCTGTCCCTGCAGCTACCATGTCCACGCAGCGGCTTCGGAATGAGGACTACCATGACTACAGCTCCACTGACGTGAGTCCAGAGGAAAGCCCGTCCGAAGGCCTAAGCAACTTCTCCTCCTCAGGCTCCTACCAGCGTTTTGGGGAAAGCAACGGCACAACGTAAGTCACTGTTACCTTCTCCCAACCTGGGAGACTCATGTTCTTAACCTCTGTACTAGTAATACAGTCTCTCTTGGAGTTATTTTTCCTCTCTTGTTTCATCAGTTCCCAGTTTTATAGCTGGAAGTAAGATATGAAGAGATTGGGTGAGTGACAGTGCTGAGATTTGAGCTCCTTGCCTGCCACTCTCTTGTCTGTTTCTTATTTTCTGTTTGTTTCAGCTGTGTTGATCCCAGAAGGCTGGTACTGAGTAAGAGCCTGGACTTGAGAAAACCTTTCAGAGAGGACATTCTCTTAATTTAGAACCATGTTCTAGAACCTCAAAGACCATGGCTAATTGGAAGTCTCCTTTGCAAAGTCTGCCATAGACTTCTGCCACAGACAGTCAGTTCATGTGGCTAAAGAAGTGGGGAGAGGGAAGAACTTCTCCTGCACTTAAAAGATCAAAGGGGTGGATAGAGAAGATCTGCTTTACCTTCCATAAGGAGGGCTTACATCTTTTCCCTGGAAACTGAATCCCAGGGCTCATCTGGGCTGAGTCTAGCCTTCTCTGGGCCTCTAATGTAAGATAAAATTGAGCACTCCACTCTGAAGCTATGCTATGTCTGGTCTTAACATTGCATTAGAAGCTTCAGAGGAGGGTTTTCTGCCCCATTGAGTTTCCAGCTATCCCCCGCCCCCAGCCTCAGCAGACTCCAGAAATGTTCTCTGGATCCCACATCCCGTCTTTTGCAGCTCTTTCATTCATTCCTCAAGCTTAACAGTCAACCTTTCTGTGTTCCCATGTGGGTTGGATGTGACTTACTGAGGAATCCTTTATGTCTTAGACTTAGGCTGTCCTCTTTGACTGCCCAAGGGGACGTTTTCTTGAAAACGGAAGAAGTGAATCTGTCACTTTAAGAAAATCAGTAGTATTATTTGTCTGTAATAAAATTTGAGCTTTCAAGCAAAAATTAGGAAAACACTTGTATCCAGCACTGACAGCTTCCCTCTGCTTACAGACTTCTCTGATGAGTTGAGTGGTGATTTTAATGAATGTGATTTTTTTTTATATGGTGTAATGAAAAGTATCAGCATTCAGAACATCTCTATAACTCATGGAACCAATATTTTCCAAATGACCAACATCAGAAAATTGTGCATGGGTAAAAGATCCATTCAGAGTGCAAGATGACCAGTGGAATTTAATTGAACAGTATGAAAAGTTCAGATTCCATTACACCCAACTTTTAAGAAACTACCACCTGTTGAGTTTGGTATAGTATCAGAGAAAAATTACGATCATCGTCCAAAAGGCTATTAAAATACTCCTTCCTTTTCCAACTCTGGAGCCCTGGTGGCGCAGTGGTTAAGAGCTGTGGCTGCTAACCAAAAGGTCAGTAGTTCAAATCCACCAGCCACTTCTTGGAAACCCTATGGGGCAGTTCTGCTCTGTCCTATAGAGTCGCCATGAGTTGAAATTGACTCAGCGGCAATGGGTTTTGTTTTGGTTTTCTCCAACTACATGTTTACGGGAGGACAGATTTTCTTCATATACAGTAAACAAAAAACCAACATATCACAACAGATTGAATGCAAAAGCAGATAATCCAGCTGTCTTCTACTGAGCAAGGCATTTAAAAAAAGGAAAATAGTGCCATTCTTTTCACATTTTCTTTTTTGGACAATGGAGTTATTTTTCATAAAATATCTGTTATTTATATTAACATGTAATAGACTTGTTATTTTTAATTAATTTTTTTTAATTTCTCAGTTTTAATTTTCTATGTAGTATATGTATCAGCAGATATAATTCACATAAATAAAAGCTCTTTGAGGCCCTCAATAATTTTTTAAGTGTTTAAAGAGTTCTTGACAAAAAAAAGTATGAAGAACTACTGACCTGGAGCATAAAAGCAACTGTAAAGGTTTGCTAGCCTCCCGCCATCACACCCCCTTCCTTTTCAGAAGGATAGTCTACCCCTTAGTTAAGACTTTGCAATCTGTAAAAATGGCTTGGTGGAGGCATCTGGCCTCCACTAACTTCACGAGGGAGAAGGAGACTCAAGATCAACAGCCCAAGGCTGATTCCTATGAGGCGAAGGTCAGACACACCTCCTCTCTCCACCATCTTTACCAATGTGACAACAACCATCCGCCCACGGCACTCACTGCTTCTCTGCTGAGTTTAATAATACATTGCAGTTGCCACACAGAACTCACAGACAATGCTCACAATTATGTGGTTTATTAGGGAGGTGAGAGGTTACAATTCAGGTTCTGGAACACTCAGGATACAGTTCTTCCATAAGGACAGCCTCTTCTCAGGTGTGCCGGAAGGGCTCGTCTCTCTGGCCCCTTGGCCTCTACCTGGCTCAGGTAAGTGTTTCAAAACTCTCTTAGCTCTGCTGATAAGTGCCCTGAGGCACCCCAGTCCACCAGTAAGCCTCAGCCCAAAGGTGCTCAGCTTTCTCGCTCTGTGGGCCAGGAAACCCATTGCACCATCTCCTGCAGGTCTCTCCTGCCCCCATTTCTCTGCCACTCCTCGCCATTTCGGTGTTACAGCTCTCTCTCTCTGTCTCCTGGTTCCAGGAGCTTTTCAGTGTAGGAATGCCCAGTCCAAAGGATGCACTCTGCTCCTGGCTGTTCTCTTGTGGTAATGATGAGGTCCTCTCTTTCTGCCTTAGGGATGGCTTATTTTAAGCCTAGCGGGATGGTAAAACTGATCAATCTCCGTGGTGCACCACAATTACCTTATTTGCGCAATCCCACTCAGTTACTTGGGTGGGAGTTACAAGACTATGGCAAAAAAGGCCATATAAAAGTGATCCATTGCACTGCACATCCCTGCAGTTGATTTTGTGATTCTCATACATTTGGGGTGATCCTAGCTTGACATGATCAATAGAAAAGAGTAATTTTGTCCAGTCGCCAGAATCTTGGTGTTTCAGAGCTGAAGGGACCATGGAGATAATCTTCTCCTAGTCCAGTCCCCTCGTTTTACAGGTCAGACAACAGGCCCAGAGAAGGGAAGGGAGTTGTCATATGAGGATTAGTGGTAGAGCCAGGGCTAAGGGACCTGGCCCCCCACCAAACCCGGCTCAGAGTCATTTTGGGAGGCCTCTGGTAGGCAGGTGGGTTTGGCAGTATGTTTACCTTTGCCTTAAGTGGATTAAACATTTGCCATGACAGACTTTGGATAGGCCATTGTCCTGCCCATTATCACTTAGCCACTGGCTGCTGCTGATGAAAGTCACAGCTGGACCCTCAAGGTCCTTAGGCTGTTTCCTGAAGGTAGTCCGGGAGAGCATTCAGCCTCTTCTCATCTAGATTCAAAGTGGCCTCCTTGATCTTTCCTGAAAAGATTGGGGATAGTAGGAAGGTCAAAAGATTTTTCTTCCTGGAAGTTGAAGGAAAAAGACTACTGAAAAGTAAAATTCCTTTCCAGAGATACAAATGGGTTCTATTTATAGCCTTTATTGGTAACAAGTGTTACTTGCTTTCAGTTTCTGCTGAATTACAGATTTGAAGAGATGTGTGTAAGCATCGGTTGGAAGGGACTTAGGTTATTTGTGCAGACGAATTTGTAGACAGTGCCAGGGCCCAAATCTTGAGTGAGTCTGTGACTGGGGGCAAAGTGGTACTGTATTTTACCCATTTCATATCTTCCTATAGGTAAGAAAGGATAGAAAATGTTGAAGATGAGACCAATTTTCTGCTGTCAATCCTTTGATGAGTTCCTGTCCCTACAGGAAAAAATGGAAACTCCTTGCCTACCTTGAGGCAGGCAGCCTCAGAGCCCTGGCTTATCCTCCTACACTGAGCAGAATCGTCCACACGTTGTTCTGAAATTGTCCTTGGCAAGATAACCACAAAACAGGCCGTAGATGGCCTCAATGGGTTTTAGCAGGTTTTCAACACCATGTTGGCATTTTAAGTGACCTCTTAGCTCATTAAGTGAAAAATACATATAAGCACCCCACCTCTGGGTGGAGACTTATTCTAATGAAGGAAAATCAATCTCTTCCTCTATCCCGGAGAATTGAAACCTTGTCTAAAGAAAATGCCTTGTCATCCCCAAACTCTGAGTGCCTTCATGAAGGTCAATCCTGAATATTCATGATGAATTTGCATTTCCTTGTCTGCTCTCTGTAAAAGCCCACTTTCCCAAGCTGCCTGTGAGCAGTCTTGGAGGAGGCAGCCCTGATTGCTCCTTTCCTTGCCCAATGAAATAAAGGCGACTTTCTTCTTTCCCACCTCAGCCTCTTGTTTATTGGCTGTAACAAGTCACGCCAAGCAGAACCTGAGGTTTCCACCCGGCGACAACCTGAGCAGCCAGTAAACCAAGTGCTCTTCCTTCTTTAGGCTCCACATTTCTCTCTAGGTTTTGTTGCTGAGTCCTCCCTTTATCTCGGGGGTCTTCTTCCTGTCCCGCTGGTCTCAGCTCTGGTCTCCTCTACCGGTCTCCCTTCCACTCTAAAGGCTCACCTGCCTCCTTTTCCCTGGGCGCCGTATCTGGGTTTTTCTTAAGACAGGTATCATTCTACCTTGTATGTTTACTAATGTGTCTGCCGCATTTTCCTTGTGACATTATTAATTTGTAGAGATCCATGTCTGATTCATACTTATGCCCACCATTGCAGTTAACACAGTGTTTTATGCATGAGAGAGAGTATTTATTGAATGAAAAGGTGAATGTGGAATAGTGTGGGGCTTCACAGTTGCGACTTGGTGAACACAGTGTGTACAAATAGGTGAAAGAAAAATCTGTCCTCAAGGCAAAAGGATACATGAGATGACTGTCTGCAGAGGGCTTCTCCAAGCCTGGGACACTATGGCATTTGAATTTTTTTTTTTTTTTTAATACAAAGTGCCCCAGGGCCTTCTGGCCCGTTGTGGTACTGTGTGACTTCTTCTGTGTTCACATTGCATAAAACTTTCTGTTGCAGGTTTTGGGGGCTTGATGTTTTATTTCCCCTGTTCTTCTCTCATACCAGTGCTGGCCCTTTGCAATTAGGTTTGTCATCCTCTGTTGCAGTAGTCAGTTCTGTGGTTCGAACCACGTCCAGATACACTAGGAAAGGATAGAGTGCCTAAGAGAACCCCATTGTCCCTCTGGACTAATCTCCAGAGAGTGAAGGGGCTCTTGGAGATGCCATAGGGAGCAGAAGCTTACAGCATGGTTTTTGAGAGAGTGGGCTCCAGGGTCACACTACCTGGGTTTGAATCCTGATTCAGTTGTTTAGTAGGTGTGTGACCTTGAACAAGTGGCTTCCTCATACATAAGATGAAGTTAACCCTCTATCAACCCTAAGGGCTTATTGTGGAAATTAAATGAGATAATATATAAAAGCACTGCTAAGTGTTTAATAAAGTTTAGCTATTAATATTGTTAACATTCCCTTGTCTAACTTGTTTCCACTTCAGATGGTTCCAGACCTTGATCCACCTGTTAAAAGGCAACGTTGGCACAGGACTCCTGGGGCTGCCTCTAGCGGTGAAAAATGCAGGCATCTTGGTAAGGGTCTTCATCAATGGAGGGAAGTGTGGTGACAAATTTTAGGAGATAGTTGTTTGTTTGTTTGTTTTTAGTTCATTTAAAATGGGAAGTTTTTTTTAATGCTGCTGAGAAAAAGCAAAGTTCAGACATTCATTCATCTAAAGATACTTCTTGAAGGCCTCCTATGTGCCTGGCGCTGCTCTAGACCCTTAGAATATCTGTCAGTGAACAAAACAGACAAAGATTCCTGCCTTCATGGAGCTTACTTTGTGCAGAGAGAATGCACTTAAACTGACTCAAGCAGTTTCCATCAATGATATTAACTAATGTTTTAGTAACAGAAGTCTGTCTACTTTCTACACAGTCCTTCCAGGCCCCATCCCTAAATGGCCAACTCTGAGAATCTTACTTCTTTTTATGATTTACTTCTGATAATACTATCCATCCAGAGCCATTCTGGTTCCTTTTAGACTGGGAGATAGCTCAGAGATGCAGACAGTCTTTAGTGAAGCACGTCTTTGTCGATCTGGCATTTCTCTAAAGATAATGTTCCGCCTTCCTCCCTACACCCCTCAACCTACTCTTCTTCCCACAGGAGCCTTCCATGCTGCTGCTTTGCAGCACAGTCTCAGAACAGACTTCTCTGGAAGGCATGGTAGGGTTCTGATAGTGCCTGTCTCACAGACCTCATCATGATCACGTTTCACCTTCTAGTGCTGTGCCAGAAGGAGCCCTGGGGGTGCAGTGCCTAAGTGCTTGGCTCTAACCGAAAGGTCACGGGTTTGAACACACCAGCCGCTCTGCAGAAAAAGACCTGGTGATCTGCTTCTGTAAAGATTACAGCCCAGGAAACCCTATGGAGCAGTTCTACTCTGTCACATGGGGTCACTATGAATCGAAAATCGACTCTGCAGCACGTAACAGTGCTGTGCCAGAAATTCTGTCCCTAGAAAATGTCTTAGTAGCATTTTAATCGGTTATAAATTCAGTCTCCCTTGGGCTCACTTCTAATTCTACCTGCCTGTCTCTCCCCTCTTTTCCACAACACCTGTCCCCAGATGGGTCCCCTCAGCCTGCTGCTGATGGGCATCGTGGCCGTGCACTGCATGGGTATCCTGGTGAAATGTGCTCACCATTTCTGCCACAGGTGAGAGTCCTCTGAGCCACCTTTCCAGCAACGAGTTGTCCTGGGTTCGGTCGCTAACACTCACAGTGACCATTTATGCAGATCACTCTTAAATTCTGCGCACTAGCTGAAGATGGCTGCTCGTTATTGTAGCACTACCTTTCCCTGGTTATTTTTGTCTTCTTTTTCGGCTTGTTGTTACCTGTTAAAGTCCAAAAGATAGAGACCATGTTCTACTTTTGTGAGCCTTGTAATGATCACGGCCATTGAAATGATTGCACCAATTAAAATTATAATGAAAGTAACTGCCCTGTTGACTTAACACTTCCGATCCTTGAAAGCATTAGATACAAGACTCAGAGTGGTATCTCCAGGGTGACAGATGGGGGACTGGCCTATTTGTTCTGTCATTGTCATTGTCTAACCCCCACACTCTGCACTTTCTTGCTCCCTTCCCTTCTCCCAGACTGAACAAACCCTTTGTGGACTATGGGGATACAGTGATGTATGGACTAGAATCTAGCCCCAGCTCCTGGCTCCGGAACCATGCCCACTGGGGAAGGTAACTGGTTTCCTCTTTTATTTTGACTGGGCCTCCCAGTGTGGAAGCCTTCAGATAGGGAGGACAGATGTGGGAGAGTATATAAGCAGCAGTGGAAAACGCATTGTTTGGGTCAGTGGACTTATGTTCTAGCTCAGCTCTGCTGTGGCTAAGCTGTGTGACCCTTCCCTTCTCTGGGCCTCAGTTTCCTCATCAGTGAAATGAAGGGCCTGGCCTGGAAAGTCTCTAAGGGATGTTCCAGCACCATCAGTCTCTGACTGATGATTATATTTCATTCATATATTCAACAAATATTTTTAAGCTGTCTCTCAAACATGGCACAAAATAACTCTAGATATAGGGAGGGGAGGATTCCCTAAGGTAAAGTATTGGTCCCCACCCTCCAGGGACTTGTAGTCTGTGTAAGGATAAAGCTATGTGGGAGCTAGTGACCAATACAGTAGATCAGTTAGAGTGTATACCAACAGGAGGAGAGGATCAGGAGATAGAGATGCCTCCTAGGCTCTCAGAGCAGAAGGACCTTTAAAGGTTAGCTTGTCCAGTGTGCCAGATGTGGTGTGCACATGATAGGTGCTTTAAGGTTGGGGCCGCTGGGCAGGAGAAGGAAAGGCTTCGAGGAGGAGCTGAGGTGAGCTGGAGCAAGATAAAGATGGGTTTGTTAGGCAAAGTGACATTTCAGGAGGTGGGAAGTGTGTGGAAACTTCTGTAGTAATTTTTCAGATGCCTGGAGGGAAATATTCTTTTTGTTTCCTATTTGAGAAAATGGTGTATTTAGTTATAGAGAATTAATATCATCAAGGGCTGAATCTTCTTTTCGTTTTTTTAATTGAACCACATTAAAACAGTGTTTTCCAAAGAAGTTCCTTTTTGTGATCACAGAGGATAGTTTTACCTTCACTCATAGTCAGCTTCATCCTGATGCAGGTTACATAATTCTTTTGGCAAAATTGTTTTCTGTGACTGAGGGAAGCCAGATTGCCAGTGGTCACCTTAGATTGATCATTTGGTTAATCGGTCCATCATTCCTTCCTTACCCCCTCACTCCATCCCTGCCTTCCTTTTCTTCTTTCCTCTCTCCCTCCTACTCTTTAGTAAAATGTGATCATGGTTAAAAAAAAAAAAGCAAACAAGATAGAAGGACATCAAATGAAGTAAATACTAGTCACAGTTGCATGTATATCCTTTTGGAATTTTCTGTACATAAAAAACATGCACGGGGTCTTAATTTTTTCACACAAATTGACCATACTGTGCATACTGTTTTGAGACTTGTTTTTTTCCGCTTACATGTCTTAGACATTCTTCTCTATCAGCAAATATAGATTTTACATATTCTTTTTAACTGCTGTATAATGTTCCATTTAAGAATGGTCTTTAATTTAATCGTTTTCCTTTTGATGACCCTTTAGGTTGTTCCCAGCTGTTGTTATAACAGTGCTTCAACCAGCAGTCTGTTTTGGTACATCTATTTCTGTGTACTTATGTCAAAGTAGTTGACTCTTGGATCCAAGTGATAGAAAGAGATAGTGAAGGGGTCCACTTCCTGGTCTTTTACACAGAGGGTTCCCAGTAGCTTTAGAAAAATGGGTGAGATGGGATAGGTGGGCAGGTGGGCAGGTGTGTAGCGAGGAGGCCAAGGGGCTGGAGAGTGGTCCCGTAGTTTGTGCTGTGCTCTGCTCATCCCCATCTCAGGATTCTCTTAACCTCACTAACATTCTAGATAAGAAGCCAGGAAGGGGTCCTCGGAAACCACACAAATAGTGTCTCCTTCACCTTTCTGCAAAAGCTCCAGACTTGTGGCACCTAGCACAGTTTCTCCTCTACCAGGGCATGCTTATCCTTGTCACCTGGTGGGAAGGGTCTTTGATGACTTGGGAAAAAGCACTGTTATAGACATTTGTCTCTCTGGTAGTCTTGCTTGTAATGTGATAATCTTTGTATTCCTTCCTTCCTCATCTGCAGGCACATTGTGGACTTCTTCCTGATTGTCACTCAGCTGGGATTCTGCTGTGTGTATTTTGTATTCCTGGCTGATAATTTCAAACAGGTAGGGCCATGGTAGAAAAAGAGAATGGCAAGAGATGAGTGGAATTTCTGTTAAAATTCCAGGTTAGGTCAACAGAGGGGTTACGATTTTAATACTTTATATAAAACAGTGTCTTTTGCTCGATTCTTATCTTAGTATCTAGGGCTTAGAGAAATCTCAAGCTCTCTTTCCCATCCTCCTGTCTTTAGGTAGAATACAGTCAAACTTAACTCAGACAGTTGGTTTACTAATGATACTCATGAAGATCTCCAAAGAAAGTTCACTGACCACAGATTTCTGTGAGACCTGTTCCACATACTGGGGCCCCAGTCAGAAACCTCTTCCAGTGGGAGGTCCACTGGCCTTTGTTGTTTGAGAGACTTTTCCTCTTTTCTTCACTGTAGGTGATAGAAGCAGCCAACGGGACCACCAACAATTGCCACAACAATGAGACAGTGATTCTGACACCCACCATGGACTCAAGACTCTACATGCTCAGCTTCCTGCCCTTCCTGGTGCTGCTGGTTTTCATCAGGAACCTCCGAGCCCTGTCCATCTTCTCCTTTTTGGCCAACATCAGCATGCTGGTCAGCCTGGTCATGATCTACCAATTCATTGTTCAGGTAGGAGCCCAGGTTCTTCCCCCATCTTCCATTAAATAATCAAAGGAACAAACAAATCAATTGGAGCATGAATAGGTATATGTTACTTATGTGTTAAATATTTAGGTTAGGATTTCTCCACTTTGGCACTATAGACATTTTGGGCCAGATAAGTCTTTGTTGTGGGGGCTGTACTGTGCATTTTAGGATGTTTAGCAGCATCCCTGGTCTCTACCCATTAAATGCCAGTAGCACCCTCCAACTCTGACAACCAAAAGTATCTCTAGACATTGCCAAGTGTTCCCTGAGGGGCAAAATCACCCCCATTGAGATCACTGATTCAGACTTTTTCTGACTAGGTAGTTAATGCGTGATTGTTGTATAAATTTGGAAAATAGAGAAAAAACATTAAAAGGAAAATAAAAATCAAAGAGAAATTATCAAGATAAACATAATAAATTTTTATTTCTTACTATATTTAGTAAGAAATGTCTTTATTTATTACCTATATTTAGATAATTTTTTACCAACTCCAGTTTTATATTTATTTGTCAGAATTATAAATGCAGTTATTGGTCACCCTTCACTTAGCCCATGTGGGCAGGTCTATGGGGTAGCACAGAGAAAGGACTTTTGCATATAGAGAGACAGAAGACTTGGCTGAGAAAAATGTGCCCTTAAACACTGGTTATGTGTGGAAAAGGCAATGCATTTGGCCAAGACTTGAAAAAAGAAAAAGAGTGAGAGCAGATGCAAAAAAAAGTATAACTTCATAAAAAAGGTACTTAAATTTAATCACCTAAATAATTCATAAATAACCAGTTGCTGTTCAGTCAGTTCCAGCGCCAGGTGGTCAGAGTAAAACCGTGCTCCATAGAGATTTCAGTGGCAGATGTTTTTTTTTTAATTGTTTTTTATTGTACTTTAGGTGAAGGTTTACAGAATAAATAGTTTCTCATTGAACAGTTAGTACACATATTGCCCTATGACAATGGTTAACAACCCCACTACATGTCAACACTGTCCTTACTCAACCTTGGGTTCCCTATCACCAGCTTTCCTGTCCCCTTCTGCCTTCTAGTCCTTGTCCCTGGACTCCTGTGCCTCATTAGTCCCATTTTGTTTTATGGGGCTGTCCAATCCTTGGCTGAACGGTGAAACTCGGAAGTGACTTTACCACTGAGCAAAAAGTGTGTCTTGGGGCCATACTCTTGGGGTTTCTCCAGTCTCTTTCAGGCCAGTAAATCTGGTCTTTTTTTGTGTGTGTTAGAATTTTGTTCTACATCCTTCTCCAGCTCTGTCCAGAACTGTCTGTTGTGATCCGGGTCAGAGCAGTCAGTGGTGGTAGCCGGGCACCATGTAGATGTACTGGACTCAGTCTGGTGGAGGCCGTGGTAGCTATGGTCCATTAGTCCTTTGAACTAATCTTTTCCTTGTATCCTGTTCTCTTCATTCTCCCTTTGCTCCCAAAGGGGTGAGACCAGTGGAGTATCTTAGATGGCTGCTCACAGGCTTTTAAGACCCCAGATGCTACTCACCAAGGTAGAATGTAGAACATTGTCTTTATAAACTGTGTTATGCTAGTTGAGCTAGATGTTCCCTGAGACCATGGTCCCCACAGCCCTCCGCCCAGCAATTCTGTCCCTCAGGGAGTTTGGATGTGTCTATGGAGCTTCCATGACCTTTCCTGGTACAAGTTGTGCTAGCTTTCCCAGTACTGTGTACTGTCTTACCCTTCACCAAAGTTACCACTTATCTATTGTCTATTTAGTATTCCCCCCCACCCCTCCCATCCCTCGTAACCAACAAAGATTGTTACTTTTTGTGTGTAAACTTTTTCATGAATTTTTACAATAGAGTCTCATACAGTATTTGTCGTTTAGTGATTGACTTATTTCATTCAGCATAATGCCCTCCAGTTCCACCCATGTTATGAGATTCTTCACAGATTCATCATTCTTCTTTGTCTTTGCATAACACTCCATTGTGTGTATGTACCACAGTTTGTTTATCCATTCATCTGTTGATGGGCATCTAGGTTGTTTCCATTTTTTGCTTTTGTGAACAGTGCTGCAATGAATATGGGTGTGACGGCTCTTATTTCTCTAGGATATATTCCTAGGAGTGGGATTGCTGGATCATATGGTATTTCTATTTCTAGCTTTCAAAGGAAGTGCCATATCATTTCCAAAATGGTTGTATCATTATGCATTCCCACCAGCAGTGCATAAGTGTTCCAATCTCCCTGCAGCCTCTCCAACATTTGTTATTTCCAGTGTTTTGATTCGTGCCAGTAATGCTGGGGTGAGATGGTATCTCATTGTGGTTTTATAGTTTGCATTTCTCTAATGGCTAGTGATCAAGAGCATTTCCTCTTGTGTCTTTTGGCCACTTGAATGTCTTCTTTGGTGAAGTGTCTGTTCATTTCCTTTGCCCATTTTTTAATAGGATTATTTGTCTTTTTGTTGTTAGAGATGTTGGATTTTCTTGTAGATTATAGAGATTAGACCTTTGTCTGACTTGTAATGCCCCCAAATTTTTTCCCAGTCTGTAGGTTGTCTTTTTACTGTGTTGGTGAAGTCTTTTGAAGAGCATAGGTGTTTGATTTTTAGAAGATCCCAGTTATCGAGCTTATCTTCTGTAGTTTGTGTGTTGATGGTTATGGTTTGTATCCTGTTAATGCCATGTATTAGGGCCTCTAGCGTTGATCCTATTTTTTTCTTCTATGAACTTCATAGTTTTTGGCTTTATATTTAGGTCTTGGATCCATTTTGGATTAGTTTTTGTATATGGTGTGAGGTATGGGTCCTGTTTCATTTTTTTGCAGATGGACATCCAGTTTAGCCAGCACCATTTGTTAAAAAGACTGTCTTTTCCC